CCCAAAGTGGTGGGGGGGATGAGGAGGGGGAGCACGGGGCTGGACCTGGGGCTCCATCCCTCCTTCCTCCATCATTCTTAATGGACAATTTGCTAGTAAATAAATAAATGTCTTGACTGACAAATTTGTTTGTAGGTAAAATAAATTCTAAAATGAACTACAATAGATGCATATTAGCATTACAAGGAAATTAAAACCAGCAATTTAAAATTAAGGATTAAGCAAACACTTTAAAATCTTACCTGCAAAACTGGATCAGTATTAGACTTTTTTTCCAAATGTACAGTAGGTAAAAGTACCAAAGCTGTCTCTAAAATTGTTCTAACAGTAGTTTTCCCTCCACCTGTAGGGCCTACTAACATCACACCAACTCGAGTCTGAAAACATATAGGCAAAATCAACTTATTATAGGTAGTATTTCAGGCTTATAATTCCCAGAATGTTAGACGTAATTAGAAAAAATACTTGTAATATTTGTAGTATGTGCAGATATGAATTTGTTCTTGTTTCTGAGAAATAAGTTTCTACCATAGCATGATTCATTTGTGTAGTTCTCAACAGACTTATGGCTGTTTCAGGGGTTTTGCCATATATCTTCAAAAATATTTAAAAAACTGCTATATGAGACTTGTCAAAAACCCCAACAATTCAATTTTGTGCAAAACTTTTTTATTCTTTTTTCCCCCAACATTTGGAAGAAAATGAAACTACTTCAAAGACCTGGATCTCCCAGGCCTGGCTCAAACTGCTGTGCCATTTAGTCAATCCCTCTTTCTGACTCAATGACCATTTCATGATTTACACAAAATGCAATGCCAACAGAAGACCAGGTGACATTACTGTTCTTTGTGATGCTTTTCTTCATTCCAGTGCTTTGACTTAGACAAAGCAAGAACCTGAATCTGCATCATTTACATTTAAAATAAATATCCTAATGGGATATTTATGTATAAGTAGGTAAGTGGCTGTCTCTCACACACAATAACTTTTGCTGAAATCACTATAGCCCTGTGGGGAAAATGGTTTTGACAAAACAGAATTTTTCAATATAAACAAATATAAAAAAAAGTTTCAATGTTAAAAAAAATTCCACCATACTTACCAGAATTTGATTGTAAAACTGTATAACTTTCTCTATTTGAGATGGCCAAGGCTGCAAGCACAGCTGTTGTGTTGCAGCAGCTATTGCTTTCTAAGGTAAGAAAAAGTATGCTATTAGCTAAGCAATAGTACTTAAAATCATTATATGAATTGCTTTAAAGTAAATTTTCCTGAACATTTTGTTTTCTTTTGTATACAAAAAATAGGCAGTGGCATAAATAGAAAAACAAAGCAAAACAGATGGTTTCCACAATATCTAGGGCTAATATCATATTTTCTCACATAAAGCATGCACATTTCTCCAAAACCCAAATGCTGGAAATTTCAGTGTGCATTATAATTGAGAAATATGGTAAAAACAATTTGTCTCATTTAAGAGCACAAGTGAAAGTAAAACCTGCATGCAACTCACAGGGAGCAGAACAATGAGCAGGCTTCAGTCCCTAGCTGCTACTATTTATTTACTTACAGCGATTAAATTTATTTTTTCTTTATTCTCTCTTCAAAAACAAGATGTATATTATATTCCAAGGTGTATTGTATGGAAAAAACAAAGAAAAAAGAAAGGAAAAAAAAAAGGTATTTCGTTTGTAATAAATGGTCAGGTCTCTTAACAGCCTGTGAGTTTCTGACATTCTAGAATTCAATAAATAATATTTCAAACTGATGAATATTTTTTATAATTAACTGCTTGAATTGCAAATGTAACAGTCTTAACTATAACATGCATCTTATTTCATACTTGATACTGAAGGTCTTCATTTAAAAGTTCCCTGCATTTTCTATGGACAAAGACATTTCAGAAGTCCATACTTGAATGACAAGACTACATCTTTAACTCCTAAATTCATTCTTTCCTCTCCTACAAATAATGGATTTGAGAAATCACTCCTTTAATTTATAGTGTAGTTCCATTGCCTAAATGGCATTAATCTTAATTTATATCTGTATAAGATGATCTACAAAAATTTCTGCATATGCAAGAAGATGGCTTTCAGAATGCATTTTGAGAAGGGTTAGTAAAATGTAAGTGTGAGATTCTACGCCCTGGGTTGCTGACACTGATGCCTTGGTTTGGGGTTAGAAACAATCTACTGTATTGGGTCAAATGGAGAAAAGTAGAGGGGGAGGAAGAAGCACAGTTACTAGTCCCAAAGTGTTACTGAAGGGCCCTGTTGAGGATGGCTCATGAGCTCCCCACAGGAAGGCATTTAGTGCATGAAAAGACAGAGACCTGTTGTTGGGGCAATTTTATTGGCCAGGGATTCACCATAAGGTGGGGAACTATTGCGGGTCCTGTCCTATATGTCAGCTGTTAGCCACAGGCAAGCCTCCTATAGCTTTGCTAGTCCCACTGCACTTGGTGGAAACACAATTTAAAAGGGTTGTGATGGACCTTGTGGGACTGTTTCTGAAAAGCAGCACAGGATACCAATTTATACTAGTTATAGGGTGCATCTACATGAGACACTATATCACTGTAGCAATGAGCTACGTTGCTGTAGTTTGTTACTACAGCAACGTAGCATTGGTGGGCATGAACCGTGAAGTCAACGCTACTGTGCAGTAGCAACAAGCTACTATGCACTGCAGAAGCTCATTGCTATTGTGTACTAGCATGGGAAAAAACCTGTGCAGCATCAGGACTGCACAGTAACGCCAGTTACTGGACAGTCATTTAGTTCTTACATAAATAAGTACCTAATGACTGTGAAGTCTGGCACACATGTAGATGAACCCCTAATGGACTAAGCAATGTAGTATTCCAAGGCCATGCCCATGTGGACATTCTCAGTCCCAAAGGTGGCAGAGAAGCTGTTAAAAGTTCTTTCCTGGGTGGGGTTTCCAAGGGAGATATTGATGGACCAGGGAAGTAACTTCATATCCGGTGTAATGAGGGGCATGTGCAAGACCCTCAAAATTTAAAAATTGCAGACCTCCATATACCACCCACAGACCAATGGAGTATGCTTAAAGAATATGCTGAGAAAGTTCATAGCAGATGAGACTCAGAAGTGGGACCAGTGCTACAGTCCTTATGAAGTAAGTTGTCAAGAGGGGCTGGTAGATTATGAGGTCCACCAACTAGACAGGTGGAAACCCAAGCAGATTTATCATATTAATCTGCTGAAGCTGTGGAAAGATAGAGTAGCTGAATATCCCGACAAGTTAGAATTAGGTCTCCCAGAAGAAGAACTGGGGAGCCAGCAGGTGGTGGAATTGAGAGCTCAGCTAACTGACTGGCAATGAACACAGGTGGGACAGATGGTGAAGGAATTCCAGGATGTGTTTCAAGAGGATCCAGGAGAGGCTAAAGAGTCAATACATCATATTGAGACTCCACTAGGAAAGGTAGTTTGGGATGCCTGGAAACAAAATACCACAGAAGCTACACAAGCAGGAGAAAGCTGAAATTAAACAGATGTTGGATAAAGGAGTGATTATAGAGTCCCAGAGCCAGTGGAGGAGCCCAATTGTGGTGGTGTTAAAAACCAATGGGGGTATTCAACTATGCATTAATTTTCAGAAGATAACTCAGCTAAATTTGATGCATATCCCATGCCAAGCATAAATGAGATACTAGAGAAAATTGGACAAACCAGCTACATATTCACCCTTGACTTCATGAAGGGCTGCTGGCAGATACCGCTGGCAAACAGGGACTAGAAAAAGACAGCTTTTGGGAGACCATGGGGTTGGTCATACAAGTTTAAACAGATGCCTTTCAAGCACCATGGAGCAGCAGCCGCATTTCAGAGACTTATAAATAAATTATTGGCACCATACCAGAAACATGCAGCGACGTATATAAACTATGTGATTTTTTCAGTTAGTTGGGGATATCATCTGCAAGCACTCAGCCATACTTCAGGAACTGAGAAAAGCTGGGCTGATGGCAAATCCAAAGAAGTGAATCCTAGGG